TCGCCCTCGCCCCCACCTTTACACGCATCATGAAGGTGCCCGGGTTTCTCTTTCTGCGGTGGAACATCCCCGCCCACTTAAGCCGGATGTCGGCGTCGTCCACGCTCAGCTCCTCCCACGTGTACTCGCCGGATCGGATCGCAGCGGCGAGCTCGTGCACCTGATGCAACGGATCGGATGTCGTCGGTTTGGAAAATGGAGGGTTTTTCGTTGTCGGCAAGTCTTGAAATGTTCGGGTTGCAGTGTGTGGTGTCATGTCATCTAATCCGCTGGGCACCCGAACTACTTATATTTGAATACCTTTTCGGGGGAAGTCTGCATGTGGCACGATACGAGCACTTCCGGTTTGAGCGGATCTCTCTACGGTTGCGGCCAGGAGGGTTGCGGAATCCCAACGCGGCACGGCGCACACGCTACGACGAGGAGATAGTGGTATGAACATGGCACACTCGTTGATATAAAAGTGGAGTGTACCTCTCCCTTACTATCACCTCGAAGCTGTGTGGAACTTGTCCTACCACAACAGGTGCATTTTTTTCTGCTATACTTTGTCCTCTCCTTGATGATGCTCTCCTATCGCCTTGCATGCTGCACACCATGCAGCCAGAATCCAACACACAACAAGCCCAGCACACGGCAACGGCCAACCGCAACACTGAAGGGGCGCATGACTCGGCATAAATCCGGATTCTTGCATGGCGTCGTAGCACAACATCTGACAACGCCAAATAACCATGGTAGCGCACCAAACTTCGACGTTAGCACCGTTGACGAGAGAAAGGGACGGCTGGAGCCTTCTCGCGATACAAATAAAATTCAGCACGCACCGCAGGAGGAAGGTGGGGCATTAAAATAAATAATAATAAGAAAAAAGCCCTGGTGTTTACCCCCTCCTGTGTGACCCTGGATGGTTGTAGTTGTACGAAAAAATACACTGAAAAATGTGGTACTCTACATACGCTGAAACGTGTAGCACACGTCTCACCACGAAAAATGGGGGGACTGTCGCCATAATAAAAAGGACGAAAAACACACACACCATCATATGGCCACACGTCCCAATACCGTAACACTACCCCGCCCTGAGTTGTCGTAGATGTAGATATAGATGAAAACCTTCGAGGGTCTTCTTTTCAATCAAGACATTGAGGCGATGAATCGAAGATGCGACATCTCAAAACCCTCACCCGCATCCTTCAATAAAAAACAAAACAAAGGAAGAGGAGCAGAGGAGCCAGGGACGGCGAGGTCGGCGGATAACCTCGGGAAAAGGTCACACTTTGGGCGCCCGGCAAAAGGTGGAGGAGACAGCCCGCGACATTGAACGTGAGGAGGGGCAGCAGCGGACGCGCAAGGCAGCGTCTGCGCTGGACGCCGATACCCCAGAGGAACACCGCCTGCTGCTGCACCTCCTCACGCTCAATATCGCGGGCTGCTCTACCTTTAACCGGGCGAGCTCAACATTCATACTACAGCTGGGCGAATTTCCGGGACGGTTGTTCATGAAACCTTCTGTTGTACGTACTAAAAACACAAGATCTTATCATCTCTCCCCTGTTGATAACATTTACTGCTGTACACTATTGAGTCACTATGCACGTAGCAATGACGCCGTACGTGACGCAACCAGCGTGTGTCTGTGCGATTCCTCCCACATGTACAAGAATAAAATACTCTGGATGTTCAAAAATCGAAACGAACCATTCGGCATTCGTGCGACACCGCAAATCAGGCAGTCTACTGGTTCCATACAGGGCGTGACAATCAAGCTGGTTCACATGTACAGTACGCAATGTGGGTGTGTCTTTATTATTCTCATCGACCGCGCTAACCTGCTGACCAATGAAGTGACGTGCCTCAGTGCGGTTGAAAACACAAAACACTTCTACTGTCAATGCCATTGACTGAGACCCCGTGAGGGGGCGGCATGGAGGAGGCAAAGCTATTCTCCGGATGAAAGACAGAAACAGTCTCAAGCAAAAAAACTGCACGCGTCTATCATGGCTGCTGTAGTACCTTGCACTCGAATTCGTTTTGGAGTCCTTGCTCTCACTACCACACTACGCACCATTCCCATCATTTTCACAGCATTTTCTGTGGCAGTTATTCTCTGGCACTGCGTCGTTTGCTCTCTTCCACGCCATGATTCCCTCTCGATTGCTGTCTTCATCTTGAATGGGTGTGTACACATAGTCTACATGTTCTTTGTCGAGAACATACGTTCAATCCAAACAGAGACAGACTGCAAGGTCCGAGATTAACCCCGTTCGACGTGATGTCGTCATGGTGTCGACGTGGTTACAGAGAAGAGGGTTGAGGGATAGACACCTGCTAAGCATCCTCTCCTCTCTTTTCTTTCTTGGAATGCATACACGGAATGATGAATCGAAACCGATGGCCCACTGCACATCGGAGTCGTCCTGAACCTTAAGAACCCTGCCTTCTTTCTGGCCTCAAAACTCGAATGTCTTGGATGGATTCGTTGTGTCATACTAAGAAATATATTAGATTTGGTGACTCCCAGAATATGATGGCTCTTGCAGTTGCTGTACAATGGTCATCCCGAAAAGCATACTGCTGTGTTGCGGCCAAGCTTTGGACATAGACAACAGTCGTGAAGGCCCTGGGGATATAGACAGCAGCCGTGACGGCATGGCCTGCCACAGCGGTCTCTCTTCCTCTTACCTCCGTAAACATGATGTCGCCAGGCTTTTCGCACTTCTTCTTCTCGAATGGGTTCCCCGCTTTGGACCTCTCCAAAGCGTCTTCTGGCAACAACTCGGTGGACAGCTGCAGCTTCGGCCGGTCCACCGCCGCTTTCGATCTGTCCACAGCTACCCCCTCTGCTGTCATGCGGACTGGCCTCGACCACCCTGTAGCAGTTGGAGCATGGCTGCTACTGCTACTGCTGCTGTGTCTGACGCTATGCTGGCAAGAACGATGCTGGCGTTGTGCTGCTACGATGCAAAATACAGCGAGGAGGAGTTCACGTACACCGATGCATGGGTGATGGTTCAATTCGACGACACAGATACGAGTATCGCTAGGCGAAGCACAGGACAGGGCCGTGCGGGGTGTACAACAAGCGGAAGTGATCAAAGGAGATTACAGGGCAGCCGAATCAAGCATTGATAGCTATTAGGATCGCGCAAACACGTACGTATTGTCCGCACTTGACATGAAATCGGCAGTCAGAAAGGTTGGGATAGTCTAAAGCATCTGCTCGCGTTTTACAGTAGAGCGTCGCTCCCTCTCACCTATGGATATACCAGCGAACGAGAAACCCTGCCCCACGGGCGCCAGAAGCGCCGCCACCGCCAACCTTTTTCCGTTTCTACTAGACGGCATTTTTCACGTGGTGATGATTGTCAGATGTGATCGATTGTGTAAGACACAAGGCGAGGCCGGTGCCTCTCGAACTGCCATCAAACTTCCAAACTGCCGAAAAATGGACTGCAACAAGCGAACATGCTTTCTTTCATCCGCGTTCCACTCCTAATCGCTGAGGTATTTGGACAGCGCAAGCACCCCCCTGATTCGCTATCGTCCCCCAGAAAACAGTATGGATGCTCTTTGCTGTGCGTTGAGGTATACAAAGAGGGGAGGGAGGTGGCAGATACACGTGTGCCAGCTCTCTCAATACCTCGCTTGTCGGTGCTCCCTGGTTGGAACAAAATTGATATTTAAATTCTCAAATCTTCGGAGATGCCGCATGTGGTATGAGAGCATTGGGAGATCGCCAATGGTAGATCTGACGCGACCTCCGCTGCTGCTGCCGGCCTCCCCTCCTCCCCTGCACGCGCTCCAGCTGTACTCGCCAAGCAAGCAGTGTATGACCGAGGAATCCACACCTTCACCATGGTCGTTGGGTGAGGCCAACCTGCTATGATCGAGGAAGCTAGTCCGTTGGCCCGCCTACGTGTAACGAACACAAGACACAGGACACTTGTACAATGCACGCCTCTCCTCTGGGTCTCTCAGTCCAGAGAATAGGCCTCCTCCTTATCGCTGACAGGGACCGTCTTACCTTTACAGCAGTACCCTCGCCAGGCGGGTGTGACCCTAAGTTCTAGTTGCCCCAACAAAACCCGCCATCCTTTCACGATTTCGAGGGAGGGAACAACATTGCTGCTGTCAAAAGAGATCGAGAGAGGAAGCGTGTCGAGCCCCAACACATGGTCCAGACTATGTATGTGCTTTTATTATTAGCATCGACCGCGCTAACCGGCTGACCAATGAAAAGACGTCAGTCTCAGTGCGGCGGGAAACACAAAATGTTTCTATAGTCCACTATCTGGGACCCCGGGACCGAGCGTCGTAGGTGTGTGTGTGTGTGTTTTCCGTCCTTTTTATTATGGCGACAGTCCCCCCATTTTTCGTGGTGAGACGTGTACTACACGTTTCAGCGCATGTAGAGTTCTACACTAAGACTTTTCAGTGTATTTTTTCGTGCAACTACAACCATCCAGGGTCACACAGGAGGGGGTAAACACCAGAGGGCTTTTTTCTTCTTTTATTTGTTTTCACACCCCACCTTCCTCCTGCGGTGCGTGCTGAATTTTATTTGTATCGAGAGAAGAGTCCAGCCGTCCCTTTCCCTCTCGTCAACGGTGCTAACGTCAAAGTTTGGTACTCACGAGAGCTTGTCAACTATATTTCGCTTTCACCCGCACATTTCGTAATTTTTTCACCTCATGGGGATTCGAACTCACGGCCTCTGCGACTAGCGGATTACGAGGATACCACTAGACCACCGGGGCGACCGGTTATACTAAATAAATACAACAAACAACCCCTGGATGTGCGTGTGTTTTTGTTATTAGCATCGACTGCGCTAACCGGCTGACCAATGAAAAGACGTCAGTCTCAGTGTGGTTGAAAACACTTCCAAATGCCATTAACTGGGACCCCGTGGAGGGGCGGCAGGGGGGAGACTAATCTTTTCTCCGGATGGAAGACAGAAACGGTATAGACTATAAGCAACAGCAAAAAACTACGTGCGTCTAGGAAGAAGGCTGCTACCTTGCACTCGAGTTCGTTTCGGAGTGCTTTCACCATCATCCTCTTGCTTTCAACTCCATCGTTCTCAACATAGTATTGACAGCAACTTGTCGACATTTCTTCTCTGGGCCTGCGTCGTTTGTGGGGGGGAAGGTCCTCTGGCCCGATGGCGTGTGTCTGTACGCAAAAAATAGTTGTTTGGTCGCAAAAACCTTGGGAATGGAACGATCCCTTCCGTTCCCAAAAGCAACTTCTCAACATATCACTACCGCAGCGCGTGGCCCTCAGTAGTGCCGCCACGTTCTACGCGCTCGCTATATACGTGTAGCAAACTTTCACCCGCACCACATGTAGCAGGCACCCGGCAGCGTGATATCCGAGCAGCACAAACTGCTTGCTCCACATACATGTGTCACACGACGTTTCACTGGCACTGCTGAAGCGGGCATTCAGCACTTCACCAGCACCACTCAAAAGGCCCCTTCTACGGAATATATATATGCAGTCTCCCCCCCCCCTTCCCAAAAACAGCTCCAAAGCTTCTCGTCCGAACAAAAATGAGTAAAAAAAGGCTGTACAACAACACATTTCTTACATATCGCCTTCTAGTCCACCCAAACAGCTACTATTCCACTACTACAGACGCGTGGAAAAACCACACATTCACAACTATAAGTTCTTTCGCCACCTCTGCCCAGAAAACGAAGCGAAAGATCGAAATCAAACACTACACGTCCCGTTCAGCTAAGCACTAACTATTTGCACCGCGTTGTCGTGTGCGTGAGCGAGGGTGCCACTCACGAACGAAAGACATCAACCACGACAACTGACGACACACGCAATGCGGATTGCGTCGTGGGTGATGGAAGCCGATAGAAGAAAGGGGCCCGCTTGGCCCTATCCATCTCCAGACAGGAGGTCCTGAAGCAATATCCGATAAGAAACAGGCATGTTGCAACTATCATGCATTTCCGGCAACAGCAGTACAGAGAAAAACGCCAACCAAACTACACCAATGAAGCTCCTGCCTGTTTTTTCACCTTCGCAGGCGTGGGTGCCTGACACCAACATAAGGAAATGCAAGCAAGCAAACATCTCCAGCGCACTTTCTCGCAACACCTTCGGATACAGAAGAATGAGGCGTCCCGGCCACTTCGTGTGGTACTAACTAAACCGACTTTGACAAAAGGCAAAAACGGGCTACGTAGGACTGGCTTCCGCCCCCAGGCGTTAGGCCAGCGGGCTTCCCCATGTTTGCCCTGTATAAGAGCGGCACCTAACTCACGGAAAACAGTCAACCATCCCCCCCCCAGTCAAACAAGAAGCTCGTACTTTCGAACACTTGCGGCATACACATAGAAACAGGCCCTTTCCCTCTCATTGGCTCTACCTTGCAAGCGACAATACGCTGACGAGTGCACAGGTCCCTGCTTACACAACTATGTAGGCTCCGGACCGGCGGGTCCCTTCCTCGCCGCCTTGACTAGGAAGCACAAACCAAACGAACACGCGTCCCGTGTGCCGAACCAGCCTGACGTGCCTGCTGCTGCTGCTACTGCTGCCGCTGCCGCCGCCAAACGCCCGGAGCTAGTTCCTGACAAACTCCAGGCGTACTTTCCCCCCTGTACATGACGATGAGAACTGGCCGCGCAAACGTCGCCTCACAATTTCCCCTGCTCTTCCGCTCCGTCCACATGCTAGCGCGGACACGCTACATACCGCCTCCTATCGGCGCTCTCCCTCCCCCGCTCTCTCAGAGCACCGCCCTCGGCAGAATCGCGGCTCCCACGTCTTCCCCTGGACTGGGGACATTCTCTGGGGTGTAGCCCAAGTGGGATGTTGTTGATGCCTGGTGTGCGATCGGCGGGGGCCGCGCAGACCGCTTCTTATCGAAACAAAAGCACCCGACAGATGCCTGGCACCGAGATGATGCGGCAGCGGATGGACAGACAAGAGGGAACGAAAAAACACAACTGTCGGGTTCAGACCCACGAAGAAAGCGGCAGCGCGGCGAAGGTCTCGCGGCCCGCACGACCAAATGCGTCTAGAGTCGACCAGCGCGTGATTTGGAGCCGTTCGCACACAACGTCTGCGTGAAAAAGATCGCTCAAAACGGAAGAAGAGAAGCGCCCGGGTACACTATATTTTTGGGGCAAGGCTACTTCCTCCCTTCCCGCAACAGCTGACAGCCCACTGGAGAGGAGAGGCTCAACGCAAACATGCAGGAGCGACAAGCAGAACGTACAATGCATCCCCAAGGGGCGACGCCAACAGGAACGTCCAAATCAAGAAACCGCATCAGCGACGATACGCACAGATGCGCCCCGCTCACCGCCCCTCTCTCTCACGCGTCTCAAGTTTGCGATGAGGACAAAGGGGGCTCGACGCGTTCTTGCTGCGCATCGGTTATACCATCGAGAAATTTCGACAGTTACGTGCGTTCGTGGACAAGGATGACAGCGACGAACAGACGATTCAAGACGGGGTTACCAACAGCGAGCAGCTTCGTCTCGAGACGGGTGCGGTGTGCAGTTAGGCGTCAAAGGTACCACACTACGGAGGAAGCAAGCACAGGTTCTTCGTCCCTGTCTCACGACAAGACCATTCGAGGACGCGGCCTGACCGCTGCTGAACTCACCGCTAACGTGCAGATGTAGATAACCCCGCCTATGTAACAGTTGACGGAGGCGTCATGGTCGTGGTGTTCCTCCCACACCTCCACGTCCGTGAACATAGGCTGCGAGGCGAACATGTGCCCCACGCTAAACAAAAAGAAAATCCCGAACAAGGACAGCAGTCCACAGCACTGTAGGTTGCAGCGTTGTTGTTGTTGTTGTTGCCGCCATACAACAGTCGTTCGGCAGAACGACAATAGGGGGAGGGGGGAGGGGGGCATTCGTTAGCGTATCACAAGTACTGTAGGTGACCGGAAGCGGACGTAACGGGGTTGATGCGAGATGGAGCTACTTCTGCTGCGGAACATTCACGCAGAACAGGGCGTGGTGTAGGTCCCGATACCTCCTGTTCGGGCGGTACTAAAGACAGCACCGAATAACAGCAGCCTAACAGTGTGTATGTATATTGGAACACGTGCTCACACATAAAAGGCACCCATGGCACAGATACATCCGCCGAAAAACTCATAAGTTGATGTGTACAGCAGTGGTGGTAGTTCGTTGAAGACATTGTACGCATACCTCGTCGTACCAGATATCGCAACGAGTACTACTGTTGTATACACTAAAATGTTGTTCCAGCACGTGAAAGCACAAACTGCCTGTGGTTGATGAAGGAGCAGGTATTGCAGCAGCCAGCATGTGAAGGCATTGAGAGCTCATCTCACGGGCCGGCCAGAAACCTGTACAAGGAAGCACGGTTTCGAACTGTGTCCAGCTACTCTGTACAAGCGTGAAGACAACAACAACCACACACTTTCTTGCATTTATTGGATGGTTGCTACAACACGGGTTGACAAAAGCTTCGCCACGGAGTAAAAAAGTAGTACAAAGTAGGGAGAAGCTGTCTCCAAAATACCACGCGCTGGTCATTTGAAGCGTATGGTTGGGTGTGTATACATGTGTACCTGTGGGTACCTTCTGGTAGACTTTAGGGACGACGTTGTTGTAGATGAACGAAGAGGCTGCTGTATGGTGGTTGTGCGTCTGTGCAGGTACAGCAGTACATACAGCAGTGTGTCGCATGACGTATGACGTGCGATTACAGCTCCAAAAGGGGCACGTCGGCAAAACGTTACTGCTGTACCATCAAACAACCGCGGTGAAGAACATGCACAGACATGGTGGCATGGTGTGGTTCTCCGTCTCACAGCAGTATTATTATGTAGAAATGTCAGCATTCCACGTGGGACTACTGTTTTGGGGCTTGCTCCTCTTGGCTCTTGGCACGCGAGTAAACAGCACTTGCAAAGGTGTTTCTCCTGGTTGACATAGAATACATATGTACATTTGTCACTGCTGCTTGTTGTGCTTGCAGTGGAGACGCGTCCTGTGGGCAGGTACAACACTCGTGTACTTACCTACGGGGAGCAAGGTGTGTGTTCGCGGTGTTGGTGTTGGATTGTGAACCAAAACTACGTACGGGACGCACACCATGTGGCGGTGCACGACGTCCAAGCAGAGGCTAAAACATGATCCCGATCCTCTCTTTCAAAGCGGTCATGATTTACGCCCTCTTAGCGCGTGCCTTTTCGAGGGCAGCCGCCAGAATCAAGCAGGCAGTGGACAAGCACGTGGGCATCAACCGCATTTATCGCTTTGCGCAGGCTTGTTCCACCGCTGCTGTGTGTGCAAGGGAAGCGGGAGCTTGATATGACCCTCTCTCTCCCTACATCCCCCTTCTTTGGAGGTACTTTCGTTTGTACTTGAGTTTCATGGTCTTGGTAAACGCCGTTCTACACTCGAAGACTCTGGACACCCTCATCAATCTCGGCACAAAACGACCTCTAATCCATCCTGACTACGAATACCACAGGAATGGCATGCTGTGTTCACTTGACGGCGCTGTACAGCAGCAGCAGTAGCAGTGGGAGCAATACCATTCTGCTCCTGAACTTCCGGTACAATTGCAACAATCCAATTGCAACAATCGTTCGCGACGAGAAATGGATCGTCACATCGTCACCTGGCCGATACACTTGAAGCCGCACATCTCCCGGCCGCCTTTGCGTGCCACGCTGAATTGGGCTGAAAATAACCCGGGTGGTGCGCTGATATGTGAACCAAGCGACCACTGCAGTGTTCCCTCTTGTAGAGAGCGCAAGGCTGCTGAAATGTGATGCGTGGCAAAAACTAAAACTGCAAACAAACCGCATTTCTCGGCCGCCGAGCCGCCGAGAGGGCAGTTTAGGGGTCCCCACAAAGGATACCCCACCCCCTCTCGATGCGCGACCTTTCGCGGAGGAGAGATTCAACATTTCACTTCACGTGCATGAGGTCTTCCCAACATGGCCTCGCGTGCCCGCCTGCTACAGCAACCGAAACCAAGGCAGCGGTCAAGAGTGGAATGGCGGTCACCAGCGACCGTGCCGCCGCGCCTTGCCGCAGACGTAGGGAAAGCCGCAGGATGCAGCACTCGAGCATGACGCTGGGCTTATGTGCTCTCCTGAGGCCTCGGAGGGGCAGCGCCTGGGGAGGAGGGCACGTGGTTGTCGAGGGTTGGAGGCACCCGGTTGGACCGTTCATTCAGCCCCAGCGACAGCAGCAGCAGAAGGTCCTCGATGATTCCTTGCGGCACCGGTTTGACGCCACGTTCTCGCGGCACAGCAGCGGCGGGTGCCCCAGAAGAGGCAACAGGAGGCCTCGCGTGTTGATGTCTTCAGTCGCAGCAAGCGATAGCGGCAGCAACAGCGGCGGCAGCATGAACACGGCTGCTGCTGCTGCATCGTCACCGTTTCCGGAAGGAGAAGACGCCGCCGCCCTACCCAGGCCGCTGCCGCCTTTGCTACCGCCGGCACCGTCTACAGGCCAGTTGAACGGTGGCGTTAGTACCACCTCTGCTGCTACGCTTTCGGAGGCGGCGAGATCAAGCGAGGCGAACAACATCAACACCAGCAGTGCAAGCGAAGCTCAGGGAAGGAGGCGAGCAAGAGGCCCTCCGCAGCGACGGGAGGAGAACCAGAAGGAAGACAAGGACGTATGCCAGGAGAATCAGTGGGGGGTATCCACCTCGCAGCTGGAGCAGCAGCAGCAGCAGCAGCAGCAGCAGCAGCAGGCGAAGGCGCAGGAGATGAGACAGCTCGGCAAGAAGGGAAAGTGGAGAGAGGCCCTTGAGGTGTTGAGGTCCATCCCCGGGCCCAGCAGGCAGAAGCAGGAGTATGTCGCGGCTATTGCGGCTTGTGACTTTGCCCGAGAGCCGCGTCAAGCGCTGCGCGTTCACGGGTTGATGGTGCAGCAAGGGCTGGAACCTACCCCGGTGAGCTATCATACAGGATACTGCTGTGCGGCAAACAAATTCACGATCATTCGTAAGACTGCTACGGCTACGTGTAAGCTGGATGGAGGTCATAACAATGATGCGGACTGATCTGGATTCTTCGTAACCCCCAGTATAGTACAACGCCGGTCATTGGTGCTATGCATACAAGTGCCCAACTTGCTGCTGTTGTGTGTTGCCTGGTTTGTGTGCAGGCAGATGCGGTGTGTTTTTCGGCGTTTGGCGGCTACATGCAATGCTTATACTTGCGGTTTCGCCGCTGCTCGTCGAGTGGGTAGTCCACGTAGTCTGGCTGCGTTAACTTGGCGGCCTCTTTGCCGTCCAAGTTGGATGTTCATGAACTCTTGTTTCGCGTTTGTTTTGAGCTGGCAAAGAATGGTCATGAAGCGTCATTGCTTACAAGAATGGTGTTGTTCTCGCTTGCCTCTGCTGAAGGCCGCAAGGGAGTCTGCTGGCTTCCCCGTCCAGGATTCAACAACTTTAGCCAATCCCAGGCGGCATTGTATTTTTACCCTGATGTTGGTCTGTTGTGTCGGTTAACAACAACCCTCGGTTGTGCAGGAGAGCGTGCTGCTTGTCGTACGAGGGCTTCTTCAAGCGGGCGACGCCACCACCGCCCTCCGGGTGTTCCGCAGCAGCGGCGTTGGCATTCGAGGTCGTCCCTACAAGGCTGGGAGGACGGCCGATGACTCTGCGTCGACAATGAACGCGTGGGTGGCATATGGCATGAATGTTGTCGGCCGCTCGCGGCGTGGTGTGTGTGCTGTTGTGCAGTCGTCGGTCGGCTCTTGAGTTGCCTCCATGCGGACTTCCACGTAAGCCTTCATGACACGATCACCGCCTGCCTTGAACGATGTATGCCTTGCTTTACATTGGAGCATCTCTCTCCTGGTTATACTCAACGTGCGTGCTTATTTTTTTGCTGCTTTTCGGTTTACGCTGTAGGGCGGGCCGAAATCGCCCTGACACCAAACCGTTGCCCGCTGTGTCTTGGGTGGCAACAGGCTGTACGCGGTGGTCATTCGTGCGGCGCAGAAGGCCGGTGATTGGAGGCTAGCTGTGGTGCTCTATCGAGAGATGGAGGCCGTGAAGCCCGGCCCGTCTGCCGCGACGGCAACGGCGGTGTTCCTCGCGTGCTATGCCGAGCAAGAGGTGACTGCACAAGTGTTTCCGGTTAGATTTTCCCACCGGTTGCATACTCCGTAGCTGGCATCTCGTTGCAGTGTTGATGGAAGGTGGTTTTGTGGTACGGTGCATGTCTCGACCTTCTTCTGTGCGTCGACCGCGAGATAGCCATGGCTTCTTTTCGCCGATGCCGGTGCTTCTTTATTTTGATGTTTTGCTCGACAACGGTACTCTACAGCAGCGCGTGCTCCACGAGATCTTTGGTGCCAGCGGTTGTCGCTGCTTTTCGTCAAACCGCAAGAAGATCGACGTGCGGCGTTCATTTCGTCCCGTCTCCCTGCTCCCCCCCTCTCTGTGCCGCACCACCCCGTTTGTCCTCTCTCAGTACGCGGCGGCGGCATCGTTCGCGTCAGACGCATTGCGACCACCTTGGGAGGAGGTCACGCGTCGGCGTGTGCTGATGAACAAGATCATCGTAGCGTGCGGGAGGGCTGGACCCGACAACTATCAGCAGGTACGTGTGTTGCCGCCGACGTCGCGTATACTCCAGATCACTCGCGCACGAGCACCTTGAAGGATGGTTACGGCCTCCTGTCGGTTTCTTTCAACGCTGGTGCCGGCGTCGTCAGCTATTGCGAGTAGCGCTGCTGGTGTACATCCTGCCAATGCGCTGCAGGCTCATCCTTCTTGTTGTCTGTCCCGCCCGACCGCTGACTCGGTGGGCTCACTCTGACACAGCAGTACGATCTCATTTTTTAGTTAGAGACGACCCAACCTGCCCCGCGAATGCCTGACAGAAGAGATCCAACTTCGCCTTTTCTCCGTCCCGTGCTCGCCGCCCCACAAACGGATATCGATACAAAAAATCAAAACCCGCTGCCAAAACAAGGCGCTGGACACCTTCGAAGACCTCGACCGCACGATCGGCGCGGACGGGTACACCCTTACCGCCGTCATAGACGTCCTCCGTCGGGTGGGAGATTGGCGCCGAGCCCTCGCCCTCCTCGACCGCCTCACCGAACTCGGCGTCACCGCGAACCGGGGTCTCCGGACCTCCGTGAACGCGGTGCTGTCGGCCATGGGGCCGGACAACTACCGCCGCGCGCGGGAGCTCGTGGAGAAGGCGACGGTGGAGTGGGGGGTGGACGGCGACGTCGTGACGTACGGCACTCTCCTGCTGCTCGCTAGCGCGCGATTGCCCCCGCCGGCCCCGCTAGGGGCAACGGGGACTCCGTCGCTGGCACCGGCAGCGGCAGCGGCGGCGGCGGTGCCACCAGGGTCGGCTTATCCGGCGGATGGGCCGTTCGGGGGGGAAGGGGGGCAGGAAGAAGAGAGCGGGCAGTGGGAGACGGTCAACGTCTTCCGGTGGGCGGTGGCTGCCAAGGAGGTGCCCTCCGAGGCCTGCCTGGACATGGTCATGTTTGGGTTGGCGAGGGACGGGTTGTGGGAGGAGGCGACGGCGTTCGTTGAGGCTATTGGGCAGGCTGGCCTCAAGGTTTCTAGGCACCAGGTGGGGTGTTTGTTGGGTGGGGATGGGGCTGTATGTAACGGTGCTGATTGCTCCTGGTAAGCGGGACCGCCTTTCGTGAGGGTATGACGCGGTTCATGCGAAATAGACAGGGGGGGGAGTTCGTCATACCAACCCTAACCACAACCCAACCCGTGGTCCCTATTAAATTAGAACTTGAGTATCCTCGCGAATGCTACTGGATTAGTCTAGTGTGGGTGGGATATTACTCAGTGAGGCTACGGGCGTTGACGGGTGCGTCCACGACCGTAGCCTCACTGAGCACTGACCCCCTAGATCGCACCGCTGGTCCTTGATCGGGTCTTTAGTCGCTGCTGTTTTTTGTTGCTCACGTCGGCGCGCATCGGCGCGCCGGCGATGCATGACTGTTTTCGTTTATCGCAGCGAGAGGCGCTACTGTCTGCCCTCTCGAACGGCGAACAATGGGCTGGCGTCGTTGCCCTGGTGAAGTCGATGCTGGTAGATTTGGAAGTCGTCGACAATGCGACGGTGGGGTTAGCGATGAAGGCCTACGCCAAGCTCGGCCTAGAGACGCACTGGAGATCGGTGAGTGAGTGTGACTTTCTTCAGTTATTTATGTCGTGACTGCACTCTTGACGCAGTTGTTGTGTTTGGTGTGCTTGAAGGGCTGTTTGCTCAGTTGGCAAGTGACACGAAGCGTGCCCAATGAAGCTGAACCACGCACACACACATGGTGTAATGTTAAATGTTTCTGCGATGCACGCACGCGGTTCCTCGCGGTTCCTCGCGGTTCCTCGCCTGTGGCTGCTGCGCTAAGTGGTATGCATACGATGCGGGAGGACATACAGATCAGCAGTGGGACGAGTAACAATCGTATGAGGCGCTGCATCGACACAACGGATTTCAAGCAGCCATGCGAATTCCCGAAAGCGACAACGATTTTTTACACGCCGGCGCCGTTCACCACAACTCGTCCATACGAATATACCGCTCCCCGCTCACTGCCGTTGGAGTTGTGGTCGTCCGTCTGACCCCTGTCGCCCTGCTTGCTCCCCAAAAATTGCAGGCGTTGTCTGTGATAAAGCAGGCCCAACGCGCCTCCAGAGGACGCTCGCGCGTGGTAGCTGCGGACGTGTTGGATGGTTCGGCGTGGAGGTGCTTGCTGGCCGGTTTGGCTAGCGAGGGTCTGCACGAAGAGGCCGGTGTGGTGATGCAGGCGATGGCGGAGGCAAGGGTCAGGGTAGACAAGGTACGGCGCGAGTCGTGTACTTGCAGGGTTATTTTTACGTCTTGGTTTTCGTTCTGTTCTTTTTTTTTGGGGGGGGGGCGTCGACGAGTGAAAAAATGCGTGTGTTTCGGATCCCCGCTGCGGACTGCTGTGTGTTTGTGCAAGAACCAGATGGATCTACTCTATTGTCGCACTCGGATCGGAGTCTTGGCAACACGCACCGTTGCACCGTGTGGGAAAAACAATTTTCAGGATGGGAACGATCTATGAAGGCAACCGACAAGCACGGTAGGCGTAGCAGAGACACCCCTCAAAAACGGATGGACGGGTAGACGATAGCCGAATACCGCAACGAATTAACTTTTTCTTCCGGCGGACCTTCCAGATTTGCTGTGTGTGCGGATATGCATACAGTGGATGTGGAGCAGAAGGAGGCATGATCGTGCGAACTGTGGTCAACACGCTGTCCGATTTGTGCCATGTGCCTCGTCGTTATGGCGCCTTCTCGTGCTCTCTCTTGCGATAGTTGAACCAAATATCTGCCCCCCACCCCGGTCCACCCCCTTCATACCGCTCACCCATTTAAGACGCAACGCCGCTGTTGATTATTCTTCTCGGTTGCCTCCAGGACTCCACCGCGGCTGTGGTTCTGGCGGCCTACAAGGCGGGGGATCACGCCGCCGCCATCGCATGGGTCGATCGCCTAGACCGCGCGGGCCTGCCCGTTTCCCGCAACGGTTACACGGCGGGGGTGAACGCCTGCTGCGCTCTCGGGAAACCCGATGCCGCGATCAGCATCCTGGGGATGATGCTGGAAGGGCGGCTGGTTCCAACCGCGTCCGTGTACAACGCGGTTTTGGAGTCGATCTGTCCCGCCTCCGAAGGGGGCTACTCCGCCCGCGTACGCTTGCGGGATAGCAGTCCGGCGTTGTCGGGTGGGAGACTAACCGAAGAGGCCGATGGTAGTGGAGGCGAGGAGGAATTGAACGGCCTTTTTCGTGCGAGGGAGAGAAGGGAGGACGGGGAACGGGACGAGCCGGCGGGGCTTATTCGAGACACGACGGCAGCGGCGAAAGCCGACAGAGCGTTGTCGTTGTTCGAGGAGATGTGGGCGAGGGAGGTGCCAATGAATGGAGTCACGTACGCGATAGTCATCTGCGCGCTGCTAAGGGCAGAGCGAGAAGACCAAGTGTTGAGGTTGTGGACACTGGTGAGATCTCAAGAGCTTTCGTGTTCCGCCGTGTTTATGTAGAAAGCCGCGCCTCGCGGCCTCTGCTGTCTTGGTGCGGTCGGGGAGTGGCCACAACCCGTCAAGTGTTCACACGGTGACCATCACCACCTTGTTCGAATCACTTATCTCAACCGGTTCGTATCGGCCGGCCCCCTGCGCATCCTGTGCACGGGATGACAGCTATGGCGTGCATACCATCGGGACAGTAGTGCAGACGTGCAATGGCCCCGTGTCTTCTCGATGCTTGAGCGTGGGCGTTGCTTGACCTTTGCTGGCTTTTTTTTTTGTGGTCCTGCCTGCAGGCGTGGAGCGACCCCCGCACGAAGAAGCTGCGAACAGACATGTCGAACCGAGCTCTCGGCATATGCAAGGATCAGAGACGGGGCGCCCTCGCCGTCCGGCTGCTGCAGCTTGGCGCACGGCTCTCACCGAAGGGCCTGAACGACGTGGCGTGGCCGGGACCAGGGCCGTACTGGGTTGCTATGGAAGCGGTGAGGCACGGCAGCAGCGTCGAAATCAGTTGGCCCTTACGTTGCAACAACAGCTTTTTTTTTTTTTTCGCTGCTGTACTGCTGTAGCCGGTCGTAGTCCCGTGGTGGTCTGCTTTGAACCTTGTTGGTTCTGCTTCGTTCACTGCCCCCGGGTCGGAACTAACCGCTGTTGTTTTGTGTTTTGTTTTTTCGTTTTTTATGTGTTTCTGCTCAGCCGCCGCCAACCGCCGTGAATCCCCCGCCTTGCTGAGAAGCCACAAGCTGATCGAGCCGAATTGATGGCGTTCATTGATGAATAATAATGAAAAAAATGCACGACGAGATTGTGGGGTCATGACGTCCCGAAACCGCTCTCATGGTGACCGTTGTAAGAGCGATGTCCAGCTTCAGACAGCGTTGTTTTTGTCCGCCCGCCTGCATATCTATTCTCGCGCGCGCCCGCCGTTGTAACTAACCCTACCGAACGATTCATTTCCACACGTTCTCATCGGCTGATTCGATTCACCCCAACAGTGCGAGCGAGAGGGGGCAACCGCTTGGCGCGACGCTCTCGCTCTCGTCGACAAGCGGAACCGCAGCCCCCTCCCTCCCGACGATTCATTCTCGGAGGCCGGCGCCGGCTTGTTGCAGCAGGCCGCCGCCTTGGGGGTTAGCGATGCCGTCCAGGCCGCCTCGACAAGGGTATGGGAAAAGCGGGAGAAGAAGAGTAACAGCAGCGGAGGGGGCGGGGGCAGGCGAGTTGGGAGGTTCAGAGCGGCGGCGGCGGCGGCGGCGGCTGCTGCTAGTGCAGCGGTGGACCAGCGGGCTACGAGCGCTGACTGACGGGGGCGAGGGCGGGAAATCCTCAGCGAACCCGCTAGGTGCGCGTGCCTCGTGTTGTTTCTTTTTTGTGCTCGGGGCTCTGGCGTGGAGCCTTGCAACGTCGGCTGTTGACGGCCGTGTTCTGGCACGCTGCCATGCGAATGGTCGGCTGCTTCCGAGTGCTGCGCGACCCCCCCCGCGGCCTCCGAGCTGTCGCACAGATAGGAATCCTAGTCGCTCCTGATGAGAGCCTGTCTCTTGTTGCTTGGCACTGCCATGCCATGGGGGCAGGGTCTCGTGTTCGTCTAGGGAAAGGTTATTTCGCACCCAATTTTTCTCCTTGTCTGCCGAGCTGTAGCCGGTTTTGTTCGCGCGGCGTCTGTGGATGCATCTTGTTTGCTGGCCAACCGTTCCTTTATTCTTGACCAGCGCCAGCGACTAGCTCTCCGCTCCTATTTTTGTTTCTACGTAGGCAGTGACCGGGCTCTTGTGTTTGCTGCAAAGAGTCTTGACCGGATTCGCCCCACGTCTTCTGTCTACCGCTTCCTACCGTATGACACTCTCCTTTATGCCAAGCAGGAAACTCCTGAGGCTTTGAGCTGTGCATTGCACGGCAACGAGGTTCTGAATTGTCCGTCGACCCTACGCACTTAGGGACCGGTCACGACGGTTACGATTCGAAAAGGCTGAGAGGGACTGTCTTGCCGCAGTGCATGTTATTCGGCAATCGGCGCCCTTGTCTTTTGAGAGGATGCGGTGGTGCGCGGGGAGCCGAGGCACGCATTGTGCAATTCCATAAACCAATGGGTTACCTGAAGCTAGCCAGTTGCTGTGGGATTCTCTCGCCGCGTGCGTGCGGTAGAAAAGAATTATTTCCCCTGTGCGCGTTTTTGTCGGTACGTGATTCGTATGGACATGCTTCGATTTTGAGGCGGTGAGGTGTTGGTGTACATCGGGTATCAGGAATGAGACGACGGAAACTAACTCCCGGTTCTGATTGGTTGGACATGGAATAGTGGTGGTTCTTCTTCACTCGATCGAGCGTGTTGCGTGGTCTGGATCTGTTCCGAGTTTTCCCACCTGTTTTTTTTGCGGGAAAATGCCAGTCAGTAGAGTTAGAGACTGCGGCGGCGCATGACGCAGGTGCTGAGCTGTGCATTCGAGAGTGTACTTGAATTTGAAACCATGTGTATTTGCCGACGTTTATTTATCCCTGGTATCGAACGTTTTTGGTGGTTGGTGTGAGGCGAAACAGAGAAGAGGTGGGTCGTTCGCCATCGGCATACTGCGGAAAAGGGGGTAACAAGGTCCCTCTTTTCGACGACGTGCAAGGATCCCACGAAGTGCAGGGGCAGGGGATTGTCACGAGATCTGAGCGTAGTCATTGTGCAAGCGAAGCGAAAACCTGAGTGGGGGAAGCGCTTTGTCGGCCCGGTGTGCTGCTACCTGCTCAAGGCTGGCCTCACGCAGTGTAAAAGAGTAGGGACAAGTTCCATGCCCCTCCGTTCAGATCAACGTTGAAGGGGCACCCAAATCCCGCGCCACGGAAGCTCGGGTCAGTCGCAGAAGCTGCACACTTGCCAAATCCCCCAAGTACTGATATCGACGACGTGCGCAAGACTTTGTTTTTCAGGAAGACAGACCCCTTGCCACACGACCCACCATGAGGCGTGCGACGTGCTTTCAAGGGGTTGGATGGGCGACATTTGCAGAGACAGAATGTAGTGGGAACGATTACCCGGCATTCGAACTGTTGTAGGAGCGAGCCGCCGTTCCATCCAGTGACTTTTTAGCGCGACACGTGATTACAGCAGTAGTTCGCGCATAAAAATCGGCCCTGTCGCCCTACACTCGAGGCGATGACAGCGAGAGGAGTTTCTCCCGAAACCTGATCGTGCCAAAAGTAAACGATTGCAACACCCGAATCCCACGCTGGGTGCATCCAGATAAAACGACTTCGACGTTCTGCGAATGCTCCATTGATTAATCTCTTGGGCCCAGGCGTAACGCACGCAGTCAAGTCGTGAAGCCGGCCCGGGCACTACTACGCCATGGCAACGCGGTCTGCGGCACCCCTACCGCCGGAACAAAACTTGGCATGCTGAAGCAGCGCTCTCCTTGACCCGAAGTCCTTCACGCACGTGCGGCAATCATACCGCGTCACCGCGCCCTCGATAGGTGGCCGCAGATTATCTAGGTGCTGCTGCAGGTCCTCCGGAGAGGTGAACCAGTACCCGCAGACGTCACACCGCTGGCACAGACTGTTGCCTTCGATGTTCGTGCAAACGGCAGTCGTTGGAACCTCCCTCTCCGGGACCCCCAACACCTCTGTTGGGGTTTCTACAACGTTGGGCGTCGTCGTAGCCTCCGCCCCCTCTGCGGTGCCTCTACATCTTTGGGCAGAACGAGCCGCATTTGCGGCGGGTATTCCCCCGTCTTGCCCTCTCTCTACGACCATGTCCCCGTCCGTTGGCACCGGCGGGGGCGGCGGCGGCTCGAGGTGATAAATGCTCCCCACGAACCAGTCCGGCTTGATGTCGACGTTGTCCCCGCGGTGCTTGGCCGACACGTGCTGGTCCAGCGCCCGGTCGCTGGTGAATACGCGGCCGCAGTTCGGGTGCGGGCATCGCTCTTCCTTCTTTGGAGCCACGGCGACGCCCCCCTCCTGCCCCAGCTCGTGGAACTGCCGCGTGTGCGTCCGCAGCGCCTGCGCCGACTTGTACCTCTTGCCGCACAGCTCGCAGACCTCGGGAAGAAGGGCGTCCGCTACCGCCGCCCCTGTCCTGTCGGTGCAACCGCCCCCTTTGCGGCCACCGCCGCGCTTGCGCACATTATCATCTACCGCTGGCGTTGGTGCGTTAGCGGCGTCGCTGCCGCCAGCCCGAACGGGCTCGCCGGTGGCCGTTTCAGCTCGCGCGGGCGACGCCTCGTCGCCGGACAACAGGTTGACTTCGGGCCAAAGCCACGGGGGCAGAGTGCTGCCAAACGTGGCCCCATCGTCGCCCTGCGCGGCTTGAGCGCTCGCCGCCCAGGAGAACGACAGAGTCTCGCTGGCTTGAACCCTTTGCCGGAACGAGCGGCCGGTCTGGTGACGCTTGGTCATGTAACCGTCGATCTTCTCCGCCGGAAACGGTCGCCGGTGAACCAGGGAGAAGCCGTGCCGGGCGGCCTGCTCCTCAAGGCCCCAGCGTTCCGGCTGACCAAGGGCGAGGGTAACATGCACGGCCCCGCCGGGGGAGAGGATTGCCCTCGTCCCGCCCTGTCTATCTGCCATCCCTGGAACCGCAGCATGAGCGCCGCCACCATCGATATCGCTGACGCCGCAAGCCCCACAATCACCGCCACTGACCGGACCGGTGCTGTCGATGGCAGAATTTGCCACGGCGTGAAAAAAGTGTCCCAGAAATGACCGGTGACGGCGCATGTCCTCTGTGCCAGTGTGCGGGTGGTTGAAAATAACGTGCTCGAACTGCTGTTGTTGCTGCTGCGTGCGGTGTCTGTCGGAGGGAGAGACTTGCAGCACCCTTGAGTCTAGCGCCGTCGCGTCGACGTTGTGAAGCACCGTCACCCCCAGGGAGCGCAGGGCGGCGACGATGCCGGGGGCCTCCACATACTTGCTCAGGAGGTCGAGACGCCCGTCGAAGGACGTGGCCACGATTCCGAAGGATTGTTGCTGCAGCCGTGCTTGTGATGACGGCCGCAGGTGCGGTGTTGGAGGAAGATGCAGAGCCTTCGCGAGGGCCAGCGAGAAAGAAAAATTCCCGTCGCCAAGGATGAGGATGCGGCAAGGCTGACGTTCGGGCCCGTCTCCTGGTTCTCCCATCCGCTACTGGTGCCGTGGTTGCTCAAAGTCAAGTCAACCTTGGCAAGGGTACACATGGGGAGCAGATGCAAGAACGAGGCGCGCAGGGGTTGAGTGGGTTCTCGTGCATGATGCACCTTGATGCACCGGGTGGAAATTTCCCAAGCTTGGTTGAAAGCAAGTGTTGGTCCGCCGGCAAGGATAGCGCAACCCATCTAGCGGTGGGCTGCCAAATAGGGGTACTTCGACGGAGCTGCTCATCGCGTGTACAGGTGTATACGTGGCTACCATATCCTTGGGTTACCGGAGTGTTTGGACAAGGCCACGTCGAGGGATGGGTTGGACGACACTTGACGGAAATCACTCATCCTGCTTTACCGAGAGAGAGGTATGTACAGTAAAGATTTTTCGTTCGACGCGTACGTTTCTCACTTGTTTCGATGCTCTTCGTTTGCCCGAGCGTCCACGCACCCCTTTTCGCCTGGCCTCACGAGCGGTACACTGCTGTGCAGCCGAGGCCGAGGCGGTAAGCAAGCAGGTGGAGGCAAACAACGTGCAGAACGCCCCCGAACAAAACATGCCGATGAAACTCCCTGGATTCCACGTAGCCCCTCGATTCCGCGGAGCCCGCAGGAGCCTGGAGCCAGGAGCAAGGTGCCACCACCACGCTGCACCGTCACCACGCTCGCTCTCTGCGCCACCTATCGCCCTTTGTTCCGCTCGCGTCTGGCGTGTGTACAATCTGCCCAAATCAGGCGAGGAAAGTATGCATGCTTGCATCAACAGACTTTGAAGATGCTCATGCCTGTGTGGGATTTTGATTTGTGCAAATTCGCAGCCTGAGATGTCCCGCCCACATCTATCTGCTTGTCCTGGCATCCTGGGGCATGTTTCCCTGTTGCATCTGCGAGTATGGATATTAGGCTTAGTTGAGTCGTACAGAAGGCGAACGACGTGCATTGATTTTAATCGTGGGTTGTATCGGGCATGAAAGGATGTAGATAGAGAGACACATGTGATCCGTTTGGAAAATGGGTGCTTGGATGTTGGTTATCAGTGTGCGCGGGCACTTACATGCCGCCGTAGGTTGCGCGAACTTGGGGTTCTACATGGCATTCATACGAGGAGGACGTCTTCCACGATAGCATGTTGCGGTATTACTACTGTTGAAATACAAAATCAATCGATGGCTCGTCCATGCACCTTCTATTCCAACTGCAGAGTAGCCATTGTCATGGTCATATATTCAGATAGCAGCTATGGATACACGCATGCCTACGTGAAGGATGGCTCGTATTCTGCGGTGTACGTACATGTAGCATACTGCTGTAGTGTCATGGTATTTCTTCTTCTGGCCTCTCGTCGCGTGTCCTATGCTTTGACCGTGGGGACGTGATAGGGCGCGGGAGACGAGTAAAGAGTCTCCCAGAACACCGTTATCCCCATCTCTTTCTTACCGAATCGACTCATGCCGCACAGCAGTAGCACACAGCATCATCGCGCTTCGGTTGCCTCGAGAATATTGTGTAGAGCATGGAGAATGAGGGATTCTGCACATCCGCTTGCTGTATGCATGACTGCGCGGGACCCGGCCGTACCCTACCATGCATTTGCCGACGCACGCCGTGCGAATCGTGGAAGGCCTATATTGTATTGGTTGTCACACACGCACACGGGATGCACCCCCGGTACAGCCGCCAAACCAAGACGCCGCTTGCACCGCACGTTCTCTTGCCGTTCCCCACCCTTCTGCCCACCCTGCCTCCTGTGTGCATGCAACAACCCCACAGGCAGCCTCCGCCCTGTCGCTCCTATTTGGACCCTCTGGACTACACACCACCGCTAGCAGTAGCAGCAGCAGCACAGCGACGGTAACGAACAGCCAGTCACGGTTGGTTGCCGATACCCTTTTTCTCGCTACATCATTCCCCGCCAGGAAACAATGTCGGAACTTCCCGGCTCAAAGCGCGCGGCGGGCGGGGACGAAGATTCCGCGGGGACCCCCGAGGGAGGTGGGGCGGGATCCGTACCGACCAAGCGCCCCCGCACAATCGCCGCGTACGCCGGTGCGTCATCATCCAGCGGCGGCGGGGCAGAGGGAGGGGGCTCCGCGGCATCGCCCGAAGACCTGCAAGGAGCGGGGCCAAGGACGATCGTGACCTTCAACCTGAACGGAGCTAGTCCACGGCTGGCCAAGAACTGGAACGAGATCAAAGGCTTTCTGGAGGAGCACAAGCCGGACTTGGTCTGCTTCCAGGAGGTAAGAGGTGGTTGGGTAGACGTCGCCGGGGGGAGGGGGGGGAAGGGGGGGGGAAGGGGCGTGTACTCATAGTTGTGCATGCCGTAGTCGTTAGACCATTGACCTCGCATCCCTACAAAGCCGGGACGGAGCACGCCGGGTCCTCACCGGACCAGGCTCTCACATCACCAAGCGCGAAGCGCCGTGAGATATTCGGCGAGTCGCATGAAGGGTGCGCTGCATCCTGCTAAGGGTGTTCGGCATCTTGTGCTTACTTCCTTGCGTACGGATGACAGCTGCGTATGACTTAATTCATTTTGTGAGGCTTTCACTTCCTGAGACAGTCATAAGCACTGTGTAACTGCCTCGAGGATGCTTGACAATTTCAACACAACGTAGTGCGATCATCCCGCTTGCGCGGAGTGAGGGTTCTCGACCCCGTACAACATGATCTACTCGACCACCATGATGGTTACCGCAAAAAAACAGAGGTAAAAACAAACGGTAACCTGGTTTGCCGAGTTCACGACGTGAATTGGCTTGTTTCACAACGTCGTTGCCAAGCGACGAAAACCCAATCCCGATGGCAAACACCGAGGGGGGGGCTTGTTTTACAACGTCGTTGCCAAGCGACGATAACCCAACCCCGATGACAAACGACCCCCGGGGGGGGAGGGGGGGTATAGAGCGCACCGGCGGGAGGGGGCTCATGTGGTGCCGCTATATGTTGGACAGTTTTCGCCGACGTTTGGTCGACACACGGCACTATTCGGATACCAAAGCGCTTGGTAGTTCCGCCCAAGTCAATCAGCGTCACGGGTATCCGGTACCACCCGACCGGCATTACTCATGCCCCCCACGGTGCACATTCTTGCCGTCGTTCCGGAGGAATTTGGTGTTGAGGTGAGGGCGTAGTCATTGTTGCTTGCCTTGTTTTTTTTACCGCGTTGGTAGAAAACCCTTTTGGAGACGAAACGCTGCTCCTACCCCTTTCCGAGACAGTCTTCAAGCATTGCAGCCTTCTAGAGATGGTCACGGCGTGTTTGGCACAGAGGGAATCACGATACTTGTGAGACGATACTTGTGAGATGCCTCCTTACCGTTTGATGCCTTAGGGCAACGATCGTCTTCTGGACCCATCTAGCTTCGCACCACACTTGTCCCCGTCGGAGCAATTCATGTGATGTCTTCCATATTCTCCTCTCCATAGCACCCCGTTTTAATAGAGATCGTGGTACGTACTCCATCTGCCCATTTACTTCTCGCCTTGTGGTATCGGTGCCATCAACCAGGCAGGCATGATTCTTCAAGTGTTGATCTATGAAGACGTTGCGACCGAAGGAAATATAGAGTTGGCCTTTTAGTGCTGCTTCTCGGCTTTTTTTTTCTCTGCACTTGCTGCAGCCTGTGTTGCGCGTACCCCCACTCGAACAACTACTGCTACACCCTGGTTGTCTTATCCCCTCTTTATCCTTCACATTCACTTCTAGCTGCGATATACTAGTGCCATGTTTTTTTTTGCCTTCCTTTTATCTCCGCGTGTGGATGTGTACCACGAAGGTCCGCTTGCCGGCGAAAGGTGTGCCCAAGGCCAAGAAGGAGGACGACACCGGGCGGAAGCGATGGCAGCTGAAGGTGAGAGTGATATGTATGTGATTTTCTTCGTGTCTTCGTGCATGTAATCATACAGTAGGTGTGCATTTTCCTTTCAGACACATCAAACCAACTGTGGCGACCACCTTCATAAAGGTACAATGTATCTCCCCAACGTCTGTCGAGGACGATTCCCTCATTTCACGATGGCGTCGACGATAGATACATTGTACCTTTAATTAAGAAGGTGGTCGCCACATAACTCCCGATAAAGATCCTTTGAGTGTGTTGAGCGACCCCAGCCCTTCCCTGCCAGTCTCTTGAACATCTGCGGCGGGTCTCTTTTCTCTTGTGGAAATACATGCAGGATTCCATGGCACGCCCGACGACCTAATGTCAACGGGGTAGCGGCGCGAAAATGCCCTCAGCCCTCTCCGATAACAGCCGGCCGAAAAGCTGCGCCCTCTTGGAGTGTAGAGCACACTTGAAGCAAACCATGCAAATGGGGGGCACATCGTGTGCTACTAGTAGCCCCCCTGACTTGGATTGTTTTTTCCATGAACGTTTTATTGTGTTTGTGTTTGTTTTTGTATTTTTTTTTTTTCCAGGATGACACCGCGGCGGACAGGAAGGACGTCGCCCTGGTGGACAGAACGCTCAGAGCGCTGGCCCGGCGGCTGGGCTATCGTCTGGTGATGAGCCTGGCCAACTCCAAGTACGCCGGCACGGCCGCCCTCGTGAGGTACAGCACGTATGTGGTGCCCGGGGTTGCGCAGGATCGGTGGAGGGGGGGCGAGCAAGTACTGCCGTTGCCTGTACCCTTGAGCCCGGAGTAGCATCCCGAACGGATCTCGTTCCGTCTATCCTTGGGTCCGAAATAGCGTCCCAAACGGATGTTGTGCCCCCCTTTTTTTTGTCATCTGGCTCGTGTTGTCTGTGTCTGTTGCAGTGTTTCATTGTTGCGTGTGTTTTCTTCAAGAGCCACTGCTGTTCAGCACAAGCCACGTCCCATTGCCGGCAGCACTTGGGGCGGTTTTCGCCATCACTCCTGTTGTCCTTCGCGGGAAGGCTAAATTTTCCGGCGCTGTACCTTCCAGAATCCCTCGTGGGTGCTGCAGCTCTTGTCCATCTTTTGGCCTTGACTTGGCTTGTTGACTTTGTTTTGGCCGGCGTCTTCTTTCCCTCCTATTTTTTTATTACTGTGTGGTCAACCCGTTCGTGTTCTTTTTCCATCCTAAAATCTACCACATGTTACTGCGTCGTCCACATGCGAGCTTTTTGTTGCGCTTGCAAGCGTGTCAATTGTACGCCTGGTGGCACAGCGTTTCTCCCGCTTTTTTCTGACCGCCGCAGGATCCATCTCGCGGTGCCTGTACCTCGACCTGATTCTGTGCCTCAGTTCTAGCATCTAGCCGATCGACTGGGTGAATGATCTGGTTGTTTTCCGTCCTTATGGTAGTACTGTAGCCCCGGGCCTTGTTGTTTGTCGAGCTTGCGTTTGACCAAGGCCTCTGTGTGTGTGCGACTTTCCTTCGGTGTTGTGGTGTCGGCGGCTAAGGACTATCAATCGTCCATCCTTCTCGGCCTCGCTGACCCCCTTCGCGTCCTTCTTTGTGAAACCGTCGACCCACCGTAAACACACACGTTTTGCATGCATCACCCCGCGAATCCATTGATTAGACTCGTGCCACCGGTGGATCCATGGAACACCAACAGAGAAGAATACACACCAAAGACCAAGCGTCGGAAGGAGGCCGAACGACCAGGATGATTGCCACTCAACCAACCGTCTGGTTCGTTATCCCAACGCTGGTTCTATCGCGATAAGTGCATTGAAGGGGTGTCAAATTCTGTCAGGCCATTCGCCCGACAACATAACAGTTGTGTCGCAAACATCGTGCTTTGGAGAGAGCGAAACTGCTTCCCCGACTGGCCTCCTCGTGTTCCGATATGTACCCCCCCCCCCCTTCTCCGTGGTGCCCGGCTGCTGCTGTATATGTATATGTATGTCGTTGCAGGAACACGTGCCCGGCTACCGACATCTTCTACGGCTTCACCTCCGGTGCGGTACTTTCGCGTTGATCCTTGTCGCTCGTATGACGTAGCTACTATCGTGCACACATCAACAGATCTGTGGACTTGCTGCTGCCGCTGCCACTGCTGCTGCTGCCACTGCTGCTGTTGTTGCTGTTGCTGCTGCTGTTGCTGCTGCTGGTACTGCTGTACGTTTGCCCTTACCTACCGCCTTTGACTTGTAGAGATACTGTTTTTTTTTCTGCGTGTTGGTCCAGAGGGTAAGCTGGTGAAGGAACACGACCGCGAGGGTCGTGTAATCGCCATCGAGTACCCGTCCGTGACCGTGCTCGCTCTCTACGTGCCCAACAACGGCAGCAAGGCGGAGAGCTTCCAGCGCAGGTGCATGATCACCATCACGGCTGGTGCTTCTCACAGTTTTGCGACTAGGACTCGACCATCATATTCTTGGCGTCCTTCGCAAGTACTGCAGCATAGTGCAGGGATGCTCTTGCTCTCTTGGTTCTGAGGAGGGGAGGGGGGGGCGCGCGCAGGTAACGTAATAGTTACCCCGATGGTCAAGTTCTGCTGTGTCAATCAAGTACCCCTTTTTTCTCGTTTGTCTGTTGCCGCGTTTGACCATGCATGGCACAAAGCTTACGTTATGCAGAGGATAACGTGCAGTACCTACGATCTTGTTCAGTTTTGGTGTCCGGAGAAGATACAATTGATCTCTCATATGCCAATCCCCTTGAACTGAAGGTCGTGTCGCTTGTTTTTGTTTGTCTGTTCCGCCCTTGTGGGTTTTTGCGGCGACTGTCGGTGTTGGTGTGGTGTATTGACTGGTTGCCGTGTGAACGCGAGCTAGATAGCTGATTTTTTTAAGCACAATACTGCTATTGGCCCTGGGATAACGTACTGTCGATACGCCCACCCGTACAGCACACGCCCCCCCCGCTGCTCGCTCGTTGGGGGGCCGAACTGTTTGGGTTGCCGTGATTTTCAGTTGCAAGAACGCCGACGAATATTCGAGGGCCGCAAAGGCCGCCAATCACACCGGCATACATATCTGCACCGTAGCTACTTCATTCAGCTCCTTTCTTGCGCCCGGCCTTTCCCCCTCTCCTTGCCCACGTCACTGTGAGTGTGTACGCATCCCCTTTGCCCTTAGTTTTGTCAAGTTGACACTACCTTTTGTCAAATTTGACATGACCCTCCCCCCCCTGTTTCTCCTCCTCGCCCCCCTTCCGCTTGTCCTTTGAACGGAACGAACGAACGAACGTATGGACGAACGTATGGACGAACGAACGAACGCGCGGACGAACGCTCCTGTTGCAGGCGGCGGTGGGACGACGAGCTCTGCGGGTTTGTGGACAAGTACAGCGGGAAGCTGGTAATCACCGGGGACCTCAACGTCGCGCATCAAGACGCCGACCTTACTCACGCCTCATTCTTCAAGGTGTTCATGCCGCACACGGCATTTTATTGGTTGTGTTTCATGGAGGACGACAGCCGTAGTGACGAGACCTTTTTTTTTTGTTGTTGAGCGACCGTTCTTCCAAGGCGTTTCTGTAGAAGGTGTATTTTTTTTTTATTTAGAGACGCGATGTTTTTTTGCGGTTTTTGGTTTACGAAGATTTCGTTTGTAGATGCCCTCATATGCCACTTTTCCATTGCCTTTTACCAGATCTCAAACGGTATTCTTTTGTACTATGTCCGGGTGATCGGGTGCTGATAGTTCTAGTCCCAGGTATGGCACTAAAGGGTAAGTACTTTCGACACGCGATGGTGATTCAGGCAGCATGCCATGCATTTAGCTACAGCCTAGATGTCCAGAGGCTGCTTGCTACCTTTGAGAGTCGAGAGCCCGTCGATTAGTCCCCAGATTTGGTACAGCAGTCTGTTTCGAGTGGCGAAAAGCTTCGCATCTGGCGAGCACTCCCAAGTGTTTAACCACCTGGGAAACCGACTCGTCTCGCAGTAGTCAGGGCTCATTCGTGGATAAACGCTCGACTCGGTTAGTTCTGCCTTGAGTCTGACTATCTGTCAGCAAGAACACGAAGTGCATACGTGTGGTCGGCGATGAGCGCATTTCGATACTCTGTAGCGCCCCCCCCGCAACTGCGTCTTCTGTGTTGTGCTCCCTCTCCGTTTCTCACTGCATCGTGGTCCGAAGCGCGCGACCCAACTGCCTAGGCTATCCCTCTCCCCACACGTCTCTTACCCCCCCCCACCCCAACCCCCGAAAGTACAAAGGATGATAGCCACCTTCTGGTGCAACGTAGCCTGGGCCAGTGAAAAACCCAGCATACCGCCGTCATGTGTAGGGATGCGAGATCAACGGTCTAACGACAAGCGTATACATGAGTGCTTCCCACCCCCAACTCCGCACCCACCCAACGCACCCACCCGTGCCCGCACAGGGCATGTTCCCCGCTGCCAACCCGGAGGACAGCGGACAGCCTGGCTGCACCCCGGCCGAGAAACGGCGACACTCACGCCTCCTCGAGAGCGGCGGCGGTCTGGTGGACGCCTACCGGCGCTTGAACCCGGTCCCGGCCGCGGGTGCGGGGGACGCCGGGACGGAAACGGAGGGGATGACCTGGAGGGGCACGGCGGGGAACCAGGTCGCCGCGATGGGGCGGTACTACGGCAAGGTGAAGTGAGGGATGTGGGGGGGGGGCTTACTGCGTAGCTTGGTTAAAGCGCATGTGGTGGTTTCGCGAGGGATGTGGTGCACGAAGATGACGGTTGAGGAGCAGGCCCTCCCTCGGCGTTTGGCCGCTGGCTCCCGCGCGTACGTTGGCCGGATATTTTTACTGTTGTGAAGGGTCACCCGAGCCAGAGGAACAGGACGCGTGGTCGTTGCAGAGGAGCAGCTGTGCTTTTACTCAGTAGATCTCCGTCGCGCGTTCCGGTTCTCATCGACGCCAATCATGGTCTGTCTCATTCTCGTCTGCAGTGCGGGGGGTCGCAGGTAGTTTTTGTCAACATCGGACCGGAGCAAAGTTTCTTGTTTCTTTACCACGGTCGAGTACTGTACCGTATATGAAATAAGATAACACACCCCCTGGACCAATTTTCAAAGCTCGATAACGCAACGACGACGAGTATGTATTAACGAAACAACACATGTTCAGAAAGCTCTCGACGAGACAGCTTCAACGCCACCGTTTTCGGCGTTGTGACTCTTTCCTTTGTTGTGAAGTCGAGATTTGAAAGTTGCT